GTTTGAGGCTCTGGTTTGAACTCTTCTTCTCTTCTTCCAGCTGAGAGAGGCGCCTGTTGCTCTGGTCCAACTGGACAGTCATACTGTTCTTCTCTTTCTGCAGCTCCTGGAGGGATGAAGAAATGAGTGGATGACATGAATCCATGGGCTACAATGATCAGAAGTGCACTAAAAGCAGAACTGCAAATTCACAATTACAGCAAACGGATTTTCAGCCCACCTCCATTTTCTTGCGGAGGTCCTGCTCTTTGGTCTGACAGGCCTGAAGGCTTTGTTCTGACCTCAGCAGCTTCTGTTTCTGCTCCTCCATCTCCTTCTCCATCTGCTTCTTCTGGAAGCACATCTAAAAAGGAGCAGTGTGATACATATTAAGGTCAAGGCAATTAAGATACATTAAATACATTTCCTTTAGGGTTGTGGCTTTCGCTCCTCTCTGAAAGCCTAAACACACTCAGGATGTGGTGGGTTTTTTTCATTACACATCTCTTTTTGTTAACTTAAAAACTGACTACTAAAAATACAAGTAAAAACAAAATTAAAGTTGCATCTTCAGAAGTTCAACAAATGCACAACATTCACAAAGTCAGTGAGCACTAATTTTACACGACTCACGCTTATAAAAAGATTTTAATTAGGCCTCGTCCAACAAAATCACCAAGTAGAAATGCTTTTCTGGTGCGATGTTACAAATCTACCTTCTCCATGTCTGCCTGCAGTATGTTGTGGTCTTTTTTGGCCTGTTGGATCTCTTGGGTCAGCTTGGTTCTGGTCTGGTTTAGCTGTTGATCCAAAGCATGATGGGAACTCTGCAACTGGGCAAGTTCCTACACAAAATATAACAGGTACGAACACAATTCATAAACCAAATTCTAAAAACTTCATTATTAATAAAAATCTTAAAAGACTAAAATATTTCCCACTGTTGTACCTTCTGACTGTCTCTCTCTTGGTCCTTGAGTTTCTGCTCCAGTGCCCGTCTGCAGCTTTCAGCATTGTGCCTCTGGCAACTCATCTCCTCAGTGACTTGTTTTAGTTTCTGCTCAACCGATGAACACTAAAAACAACTCAAAACATTAGACAACTTTGCTAGTGATTAACTTGTGCTCTTTACTGCCAAGCAGAATAAAATAATGTCGCCTACCTTGGACTCAACCTGCTGGTGTCGGTCTGTGGCCTGACTCAGCTCATGTTTGGCCTTGGTCAGGTCTCTGTCCCGCTCGCTGAGGTCTTTGCGGGCCTGGTTCAGCTGCGTTTGAAGTTCCTGCAGTTTGGACGCTTGGTTACGAATTTCCTTCTCCTGATTGGCTAAGTTCCTCTCTAGTTCTGACACATGGCCACGCAGCTCTGTTAAAAGAACAACAACAAAAAAAGAAGTGTAAAGCAAAAGTTACTAAACACCGAACAATACCCAACATGCTAATTATAAAATACTTTATAACAAAATACCTTGGTTCAAAGTCTTTAACTGCTCCATCTGTTGAGAGGATCCACTGGGACTCGGTGCTGCTCTGGAAGAGCTCATCCGCTGGCTGGGTTTGATTGGCGTCTCCTCATGGGCGTCCCAAAGGGATGTCCCTCGCCTCTTTAGAGGTGTTTCCATTATGTCCTGAGACTGGCGGCGATGGGCAGAATCCTGCTGTTGCCATGGGAAAATGGAAGACCCGGCTTGTCGGGCAGCAATGTCCTTGTGGCTTACACTGACTGAAGACTGATTCAACAGCTAGAGAAGATGAGAAATATTAAAACTACTAAGAAATAAATGCTCATAATTATAAAAATACATTTATTTATAGCACTTACTTTGACCTGCAAGACTTTGAGTTCACTTTCCAGTCTTTTTCTTTCTTCTACCTCTTGGTTGTATTTCTCCTGCAACTCCTCTAGTCTATTATCTATGGAAGACACACATTTTCAAATCCAAAGTAAACTTATTCAGTCATTTAGAAAAGAGTGAATCCTTAACAGATGGAGCTTACAAAAAATTGACATCAGAATGCAAAAATGATTCTATATACATTTTTAGAGACAGAGACACTCTAGAAATAACTGCGATAAGCCTACACCTGAACACAGAAATGTATATTAAAAGAAAAGTGAGAAAAGATAAGTCTGTAAATCAAATGTTTACTTGCTTATAAATAACTAAATAAATGAATAAGAACACAGAATGAATTGCAGACTCCCTGAAGATAAAAAAACACATTTTAATACCATGCTGTCTGTAGGCTGGGATTGATGCTGGTGTCTGAAAACTCTTCTGTGGAGTGGCGTAGGTCTGCAGCTCACAGGAGGATGATGACAGTGAGGAAGAGCCAGCAGGCTGGGAACGATCCAGTTCATTTTTGTGCCTGAGCAGACATAAGGTGCTCATCAAGGTCTTGATAAATCACTGAATTTATCACTCTGAGTCATACAACAGCACAGAGACAGACGCATAACTGAACTCACTTCTTGAGCTCCTGTTCGAGTCGTTCAATGGTTTTTCTGCAGGAGTTAAGCTGACCTTCCAGGTAGCTCACCTACATTTAGGAAGACAATTCAGTTAGACAAAAACATAAGTTGGATATCAGGCTTGTGAGCTTTTCACTTGAGTATCATTTATGCAAATGTGTACTCCCAAGCTGAAAAATAAATAATTCCTCCGTAACATAAGTTGTTTGAAGTTTTATCTTCAGATATAACTTGCTCACAAATGAAAAGGGCAGGACACACTAACAGGAAAACACACTTCAATATGAGCGTCTGTAATTACATGTGATGAACAGTCGTTGTTAACTAACACCTTTCAGCTTTACTGTTGAATACATGTTAATCTAGATCTGAAACTAGGTTTATCCTGCAGTGATCAAATGCTTCTTCCTCTCATCAGAAACTGACCTGCTGTTCTTTGACTCCAAGATCATGTACAACCTTTTGCCGAGCTTTCTCTAGAGAGTCGCATGACTCTAGTAAAGACTGGTTTTCTCTCTTCAAAGCAGACGTCTCTGTACGTTCACTGTCCACCTGGAGAAATAGACTCATATGAGTAGGAGAAGTATTTCTCAAGCTTATTTAAAATGTTTTGATTGGGTATCTTTTCAGATAGATGTGTCACTTTGTTTCTCACAAAACACATTTGTTCAAACACTTCTGATAAATGTTGACCTTTTGCTTTTGTTTTTGGAGTGCAGCTTCTAAGGAGTCCAACTGAAACTGCTTTTGTGTCTTCTCCTTCTTCAGTTTATCCAGCTGGACTTCCATCTCCTGGATCTTCTGCAGGGCTTTCCCTGGAAGTCCATCCTTCCACTCCTCCACCGCCCAGCTCATGGTTTAACCTTACTAAAACGTACATCCATTTATATAAAAATAATGAATTAATGACGAGCTGATAAATATACCTAGTTTAAAATTTAAAAACATTTTTAGGGAATCAAGGACTGATACTGGCCTAGCTGACTGACCTATAAGCAAATAATAATATTTACTGGCAGTGACCAATGATCAGATCAACAAATGTTTGCTAATTAATATTTATCTTCCTTCGGTACATATAACAATAATAGCAATATACAAAGAAGAAAAAGCATCAGTTTAGACACGAAAAAGGCTAAATGTCCATTTTAAACATTGGTAGTGCCACAGAAATTCACACCATGCTTTGTTATGCAGACAAAATGACACGTTTAGCCTCATGTGAACAGACAGTTCACATGAGGCTAAAGTCCCTTCAAAGCTGTGTCTTCTATCAACGCTGACAGTTAAACGCAACTAAGTGTAGCTATAACTACGTAAAGTTAACCTCAGATTTTATAACAAGAAATGAGTATTAATAGTTATACCGGTGAAAAGAAAATTACAGCCCATCATCTGACCTGAGCAGGTTTTAGTTTAATATTAAAGATTAGCTAGCTAGAAGCTACTTTACAGAGTTAACGTAGTAAATAATGCCCAATTAAATTACTGAATACAACCACAAAACACGTATTTGAAGTCAATTTATTTAAAAGATGGATATGATCAAAACATAGCTTACAGTTTCTGTTTAACGTTAGTTTTCTGAAGAGCATGCTCTCAGCAAATATGACATCGATATATATTTTTTATTTAAATCGTAAATTATCCAAACAGGGGCTAAAGATTAGTGCAGCTTCTATATTCAATATTAGTATATTAGCCAGTTAACTCGAAGTTGAAATAAATCACATAGCAGTAACGACTCAGGCTGGATGCACTTACTTTGGGCGCGATGCTCCTTTATCAAATTCTCCTACTGTTTGGGTCGCTCTCGTTGAAAAATTCAAAATTCAACAGAGGAAACGGCAAGCCGCGAAGCTCCATGTCCATTGGCTGTCTGTTACGTCGTCAGCTGCACCACGAACGCGGATTGGTTCGGTACTCTTTGTGTCCACAGCGACACCAAGTGGAAGGAGTTTATAAATACTCGCTAAGCGCACGTCCCACTGGTGTCTGAAATACACCTCTTAGCGTGAAACACTGGGGGTCGTTTTTGTTTTTACTTGCTTACTTGCTAAATTTGCTGCATTCTGAACAAAATGAAGTCGTCCTACAAATGATTCTGATTATGCTGTAAATAAAGTGTTACAGTAGTGTAACCTGCTTGAGATGAATGCATGGACCTGTTCCTCAGATTCATTTTCCAACCTTAGATATATTTTATAAGTGATAAAAAGCAGTTCTGGTCTTGTTAATCTGATTATCAAAATTGAGATCACTGTCCAAAATAATTCCAAGACTCCTGACTTGCTCACTGTGTTTTAGAGAACGGGATAAATATGAACACATTTTTCACAAATAAGAGCAAACATTTTCATCTCACCTCTGTTCAGTTTGAAAAGGTTTTGAGACAGTAATTAATGTTATCAGTGCAGGTTATTAGCTTGAACAGGGGTTAGATCATCAAAGGAAAATTTTAGTACAACTACGTATCATCTCCATAAGAATGGTAGAATATATTATGATTATTTATGACAGTACCATGTAGGAACAAGTAAAGGTTAAAGAGTAATGGACCAAGTACTGACCCTTGAGGAACACCTGTTTAAATAATTTCAGTATATCTAAAACTACTAACATAGACACAGAATCTAATATCCTATAGATGTGATAAAAATCAGCTCAGAACCTGACCTGTTAAATCAGCTGAATAATAAAGCCTTTGAGTTAAAATGTCATGGTGAGCAGTGTTGAAGGCAGCAATGAACAAAGATGACCTGCAGATCAATCACTGTTGATCTTCTGGTCATTTGTAAGAGCCGTTTCTGTGCTGTGGTTGGTTCTGAAACCTGACTGGTACTCGTCATATATATTGTGACTTGAAAAGGATCAGTTCAGTTGTTTCTAAACAAAATCTTTTTAAACATGTTGCTTAAAAAGGCAAATTCTAAAAGAAATATGTCTAGCAGTATTTCTAACCTAACCTAGATGCCACAGCTTCATACCAGGTAAAGTTTTTAGCCTAGTCCTCAAATAAAAGACAAATTCAACAAAGATTTCTACTGGAAAAAAGTTTTTAGTCTAACTTGCATCACTACTGCTTCCACAGACAGACTTAATCAGGCCAGTGTCTGTTCTATGAATCAGATTAGTCCCTTCTGTTAACATATCTGCTTTCTTTACGCAACCAGGACATGTAGCTTTAGATGTGCTGCTTAAAAAAAAAGATTCAGAAGAAAATGTTAGAATACAGAACAAAGTGTGATACTGTCATTTATTGATTTCCACTGACACGGTACAGAAAGAGCCAGAGGCTTGATTTTTTTCAATTATGCATTCCAATAGAATAATATTCATGCCTGATAAAGATAACAGTTCATTACAGAAAGAAGAGAAAACAGTGTGCAGGTGGCCTTCCAATTACCCTTTGCCTGGCTTACATGCTGTTTCAACATTGGTGCCACAGGTTTTATCTTTACTGACAGAGTAAAAACACAAAATATATAACGGTATTTTCAGAGTCTTTGACCAAAATTAAACACAATGCTCAATTCTGGCCAATAGAAAGTTTAGATACATAGGTTACTGACCTGTGCAAACAAGCCTACAACCTATCTTTACATTGTGTTTTTCTTTTAGCAGTAAGACAAAAATAAAGAAGGTGAAATTGCTCAAACTGTGTTTTTGGGTTACCAAGGCAAAACTGTAAGGCAGGCACCTTTTAGATGCATTTTTGCAGGTGACAGAGTCACATTTGCGCAGCTTGCTACAAAAATGACTTTCAAAATGGTTTATTTCCAACTATCAATTTGCCACCTTTATGTTAAGCATTAAACTGTTTCCATAGTAAACGAGATAGAGTGAAGCTACATGCATTTAAAGAACGACAGAACTGAATCGGTTCTGGCAGTGCAAAATGAAGACGGCAGCAAGGCCAAGCGTCCACTTGCAGAAACTGCTTAAATGAAATAAAATGTGCTTACATTTTTGCCATTTGACATCATTGTGTCACAAAAACAATACAAAATCTGAGTGCAACAAAGGCCCTGGTGATAATCTTTGCATTAATTATTTTTTTAAGTCTTCCTCCCAACAACACACCTTAAATACAGCCACCTAGTATTTCTATACATTTTAGTCAACCCTAAAGCAGAACTACAGTTTTGTGATCTATAACAGCTCCCATTTGGGGGTTTAAACTCCAACTACTGTTTTAATGACCCACAGATGCTTTTACGACACACATCCTTGCTAAAGGTAGCACTTCCTAAAATGTGGAACAGTTACCATCTGTTTTAAACTACGGTTTGAATTAGCTTACAAGTGTGCACAAATTAGATTAAAAGATGCGCTTCTCTTTGTATGAAATATTACATCAATTCTTGACAATAAAATGTAGTAGTTAAGGATGCCACCCTCTACTTTATTACTGTAAAAGCTATACACCCTGCTATCTTAGTGTATTTTACCATCCTGTCTACAACTGTATAGGTCATTTCTGCATCGATGCTGCGTCTGGAAGAAGAAAATACCAACAAAGTTTAATAATGCATCTCTTGACAAAAAGGCAATAAAAGCTACTGTGCTGCCCCCTTTTATTCCTGAGAGCAAAGGGACTCTGATCCAGGCTCATAGTACCAATGTCTTCACTGTGACTTAAGAGGCAAACTGGTCACATATCAGCACCCCGATTTAATGATACACTGAACAGACTGAATAGCTGGTTCCTTGCCAGTTTAACCTGCGGCCTATTTGGTCAACAAGTCCCAGTAGAAGACACAGAAAAAGAAAAAAAGCCACACACAAAGAAAACATGAACAGTCAAACATGCAACACTTCCTGCTTCTTTTAAACGAGCAAAAGATACTTGTTATTCATTAAGGAATAGTTCTTTGCATTCTCCTCTCTGGTGCTACAGAGTACACGATGCATGGTCACATTTTCACAGTTTAGACATGAACGAAAGAAGACAGAATATCTGAGGATTTAAAAACGCATCAGCTGTGAGTAACAACTGTTCACTTTTTTGTACAAAATTTTAAATCATGAACAACTGCCCGGGGCGACGCTGTGTAGTCATAACTGCCGCCAAAGAAAAAGGAAAGGAAACCGTTAATTGACAGGTCCACAAAACAGTGAATGAATCAGACTCACAAGGAAAAGGACAAAAAATTAAATTGGGCTTCAGAAAATAGACCGTTCACATAAAAGCTTTGTATCTTAAGAAAGGCTGCATAAAAAAAATGTTTTCATCTTCCCACTGGTGGGATTTTGTTTTTATTCAATGTATGAAAAGAAACCAAAACCAACATTTTAAATGTAGTTGAAGTTTGGATGAGAAACAAATCAGATGCTGTATTCCTCTCATTCAAACAAAGTAACCCCAATGTGTCTCCATTTTTTTATCCAGGTCTGACAGGAAGTAGGCGGCTGTAGATACAAAACGTGGTCCTCATCCATGAGTTGAGGAGTGAAGACTGCTCACAGAAAAGCAGAAGAAACGGAGTGAACAAAAATATTTTAAAACTGAAGAGGTAAACAATGCATGCCATGCATTTGTGATGTGTATTTTGTTGTTGCTGCTTTTGGAGAGGTCCCTCATTGCGGACTCTTGTTACCCTTTTTGCTCCTTCAGCTCCTCTTTTTTACTTCTGCTCCTCAATTTCACGTTTGACTTCAGCTACATAATGGTGATCTTTTCCATGAGCCACCTCCATGACAGCGAGAGCCTGAAGACAGAAAAACAGATTAGAACAAACATTTGATCAGTTTGCCTTGACAGCTGATCAAATGTTGAATGTAATAGTATTTGAATGTCAATACAGTGACGTAGCTTCAGATACCAAAGTTAAAATCAATGTATCAAAACATTTACTGCTTCCACTAGATTTAAGAGGGTAAGTAGCAGCCAGGTCCTGCTGCTCAACTGTACTTGATTAACTGGTGATGAACAAGTGTGGCTGCTTCTATAAAACCAATAGTTTTGGCAGTTTACTGGTCTGGAGCGATCTTTCCAGGAGTGGAGGTCCTTTCAAATTTACCACAAGTCAGATCATTCACTGCTCAGCAAAACTGCAAAAAACCTAAGAGCTATATGGCTCAGATGCTACAGACCCCAGGTAGCATGTTAAATGCTAAAGTACACTCAGAAATAAAATGAACAAGTATGGTTGGAGAAAGGGTGATTATTTGCAGCCACAAGCTAGAGGACCAGGGCACCTTGCAGTCTCCGGTTGACTGTGGCCAACATATTCTAGAGTCATATGTGAGACCATCTGCCCAATAGTCAAAGCCTTACTATCAGACCGTCATGAAACAGGACAATGATTCCAAGCACAGCAGCAAATCTCAAACTGGAATGCTGTGCAGGGACCTTAAGAGAGCTGTGCATAAACAAATGTCCACAAACCTCAAGCAACACAGTAACAGAGTGGGTTCAAATTCCTTACTTCAGGTTACCACTGTTAAACATTGCCCAACAGACCACTGAATCATGAATCATGGGGTTTACTTAGTTCTAGTACATGCAGAGACGCTCATAAGACACAAAAACAGGACAAAGAATGAACAACTGTCCACTCATTGGTCTCTCTGTGGTCGCTTGTTGCATTTCAAATGCTTTTGCAGCCAACTGCTTACGCAATTCATCTTTTAATACACCAAATATTTATACATGTATTCACCTTCTTCAGAGCTTTGACTCCTTGGGTCTTCTTCTCGAGCCCCAAATACAGACGCCCTAGCTTGAGATACATAGACGCCACATTCAGGGAATACGCCGGATAGTGAACACTGCAGAAAGAACATAATCATCAAAATGAGCTGAAAATATCATCGTATACGATA